GGTATCTATCTATGTGCAGAGGGGCTCTGGCTCTGTCGGAAACTGGGTCATCTGCAGCTGAGAAACTTACGCATGGGGTTTGTTTGATTTATTTGAGGCTTTGTCTACTTGATTTACGTATCTCAAGAGCCCGGGAGACTATTCTATTTCTGGTCCGTGCACCTTTCGTATTGTTAGCTGAAAAGAGTGACTCAGGTGCTGGCACAATCACTTGTTGGCATTTCCAGCTGTTTTTCAATAGATTTTCCCTGTAATATTGATGCAGCTGAAATTATTAAATGTCAACGGATATTATTCATCATTACGAATTCAAGTTATGGGCTTTTTCATAATAAATATGGGCTCTTGTTCATTGCTCTTGTTTTCAGAATCCGTCAGTGGAACTGAATGAAAGTCGATAAAAATCGATAACAAACTTCAAATGATTTAAGAGCTACACCAACCAAATGCAGTTTCCAATGATCTATTATTATCTACTAGCTGTATCGATTGCAGGTCTTTGCCAGTCGGGCACTCGCGCTTTGAGTATTATTTCTTTTCATATGATTCACACAAGTTGTTATAAATAATTGGATTTCATATTGTTTTTCAATGCGTAATTCAATACTGTGGCAATAGAGTTTTTTCTTCTGCTTTTGTTTTAGTGTAAGGAACTCAGATACGCTCACGCACAGCTTTATTTAAAACATAAGCCCAACCACATATATGTAACATAATATATTTATAACTTTGTATTAAATGGACTGTTCCAAATGACTAATATCAATCGATTTAAAGGTAAATTGATAAGGAACCGTTGTTCATAACAGAGAACATTGCAAACTTGTTAAATTTAAGTGAATCCGTTGCTTTCCGCCATATGTTTTTGTTCTCCATTTTTGTAATAATATCCATATTCAATCCTTTATAAGACGGAAGTACGTGAGTCACAAAAGAAACAAAACGATTTCAATAGTCGCCATTCAAGCAATCGATTGTCAGTTGAAGGTCGGCAACGACCTACATACGCAGTTTCTCTCCGACTATATAAGCACATATGTGCCTGGTATATTTATATATCTATATAGAGAGAGATATATTGATATACATGCACATATCTCAATATTGTTTTTTCTGCATCCATCTTGCCTGGCGGTGCGTGTTCAAGTGCTTAATTCTGCTTTGAAACCGAATCGCATGCTACGCTCAACTGCGCCGCCATCGACGTTGACATAGTTATATACACATGTATATGTGTATGTATATATAGGTTGGCTGTATGTAAGACCCATCGCTTTTCTTGTCACACCCTAAAAATTTATTAGATTTATGTTGAAGAAGTCTTTTCGTATTTGCTGACATAAATATTGTGTTATGAAATGAAATTTCGATAGGTTCCCATAGATCATTTTCAGTAGATATACTTTACGCCTAACCTATCCTATTTGTAAAATGCAAACTAGAAAGATAAACTAGAAATACTTATGGAATACTAAATATACTTGGCTTTGCATAGATTTGTGTCTGTATACATGAAGACAAGCTAGAGATTAAACTAAATTGGATCAAAAAACTCTCTAGAATCAGAAAATATTCTCTTATGTAGAAGTTTGGTTGTCTTTTTTTTTTTGGACGAGTATTTTGCAGTCGGTTCTTATATGCTTTATACTCACTTCCTGTTACACCCTGGAATATCCATTAAATTCAAGTAAAAGACAAATTCAATTAGCCTAAACATCTGTGTATTTGCTTTAAACTCTATCAACTCACAGATATAATGAGCATGAGTGAATTATACATACTATTAATTATCATTGCCTTATCGTACTAGCATAGACTTTATACTCTAGACACTCCCGCTTTAGCTGCAAGCTATCTTAGGCTAAGTTTTAGAATATCAAGCATTTGTTGCCGCTGTTCATGTTGGTGCCCAGAGGGCAATTGAACTCCTTGCCGAACTCCTCGGAGTTGCTCAGCGGCCCATTGACATCCCAGCGCTGGGGCGTGTGCTGGAGGAGCGGCATGGCCTCTGAGGGGGGCTCCTCGTTCTGCTTGGCCCAGCAGCGCAGCTGGGCGAAGTAGATGAAAAATAGCTGAGTGTTGGTGAAGTTCAGCTCGGGCAGTGTCTCGCGTAGGAGCAGGGGTATCATCTTGGAGTCGACCTGCTCCAGCCAGCTCAGGTACGCATTGAAGGCCACATTGAGAGCCCCAGTCTCGGCTATGATCTCCCTCAGTCTCGTGGCGTTGCGAAATTCGCTGGGCTGATTCGACAAGTAGTTGCTGTACTGAGCACGCTGGCATTCGGTGGCGTTGCGATAGCCGGACATGGTTAGTTCGTTCCAGGGCGCCGTCGCCTGCGGATGTCGGTTCCAGCCCTCGTCATCGAAGGCCTGCAGCAGGGCAGCGGCCAGGCGTTGCCCGAGCAGGGCGTACCTCAAGGCCTTCGGGTAGTAGTGGCTGTAGTAGGGCGCCTGCATGAGGCCCCAGCCGACGAGCACCGCCTGCTGGCGCGGCTCCAGCGCCGCCCGCACCTCGAAGGCGTTGAGCGAGTTCTCCGTCATCTGCCCGAAGTCGTTGCCGCGCAGCTGATTCAAATACTCGCGCGAATTGTAGCGCAGCGTCGTCTCCAGCTTGTGCCAGTAGTCCTCGTTCTTCTGGAAGTGCAAGCCCGCCAGATCGACGCCCTGGTAGTCCGGGAACTGTGTGTGGTACTGGGCTAGGCGGGTGCGGGCTGTGCGCCGGTCGCTGTCGTCCAGCCACTCGACCCGGAGCTGCTGATCGAAGGCCTTGACGAGGTCCCTGAACACGTCCTCCATGTCGTGCTGCACCTCGTCGCGCTGCACGTGCCGCTGGTACATGTCGCCCAGCACCTGGGGGAAGAGTCGCTGCATGACGCGCACGCATTGGCGGGGACGCATCATCGCCTGCTCCTCGGGCGGCTGGTTGAGCTCGAGCAGAGCTCGGTAGAGGATGTAGCTCGAAATGGTCACCTGGTTGTTGCTCTTCGCCGTGCGCACCAGGTGGGCCAGGTAGCTGGGGGAGCGCAGGTAGACGTAGTCCGGATAACCGGTCTCCACAATACTCTCCACGAAGAGCTTAAAGTCCAGCCAGGTGCCCATTTTGGCGGTCAGCTCGATCAGCTTCATGCGCGGGTACTGCGGACTGCCGCCAGGCTGCTGCTGGCGCAGTCGCTCCTGCCCGACGCGCGACCGTCCGCTGTAGACGGGCGGCACCTCCGGGGTGCTGGCCTCCACTGGAGGCAGCGTCTCCTGCTCGCGCATGCGCTTGCAGAGCTCGAACTCGAAGCGAATGATGTCGCCGCCGAAGCGCGCCGCCTCGCCGCTCTCCATTTCGAACCAGTCCCGCATGTTGTCCGCCACCTGCTGCTGGATCTGCTCGTAGACCTCGTCGCGCACGTTCGCCTGCCGCGTGGCGAGCGCGTTGCAGTGCTCTGCCGGTATGATGGTCAGCCGAGGCTCGCCCAGGTAAACGCTGCTGCCGCTCATCTGCTGCAGATTGAGATCGATGTCGAAGCCGATCAGTATGTCCAGCCCGTAGTTGCGCCGCAGCGATGCGAGCATCTGCAGCCAGTGGTAGTCGTGTTTCCAATGCGAGTTGGCCACGTTCCGCAGTCCGCCGTGCTCCCGCAAGACCTTCATCAGGAATTGGCGGCGCTCCGCCGCATTGGCCTCCACGGCCACGCAGGAGTCGTAGAAGCTGCGCACCTTCCGCACATTCGCTGCGCTCACCGGACCCAGGTCGTTGGCCGACAGGGGAAGCGTCAGCAGCTGCTGCAGCTGCTCCACAATGCGAGTCTCCATCAAGTGCTGGGCCGTTATCAACTCACCTTCGCGCAGCTGACGCGTGTGATAACGGCCCCAGTTGCCGCAGGCGTACTCGTAGAAGTCGGCGCAGGGATCTGAGCTCAGGTTCATATACTTGAGCATATCTCTGGACATGCTCTGGCGTATTCTCTGCTCCTGGCGACTGTCCACAATGTTGCTGTTGCTGTTGCTATTACCATTGCCGTGGCCGTGTCCATGAATGTGCATGGCAGCAGCGGCAGCAGCACCGCCTCCACGATTCATGTTGACGTTGTTGTACCTGTACGCGGGTCCAGCTCCAGAAGCTGCGCCGGCCAGGTGAAGCAGGCAGAGCGCAAAGATCTGTGCAAATCGTGTAGTTCTCATTTTAGCGTTCCAGAATCAACTGAGCTAGCTCCAGCTCTGCTTGATGGATTGATAAGCATTCTGTAGTCGTATAAATTTTCCGCTCATGAACTTGACGAATTGGGGTCAAGTGTGCGCTCAATGTACTCCCGGCTCTGGTTCCTAGGGTTATCGCCAAAGACACGAGCGCTGCGAGAGCCAAAGAGAAACAAACAAACGGCGACCTCGCACGTCGCTGGCTCTCAATGAATGTAACTGTTATCGAAAGGCAAAATTATTCAGGCTTATCGATTGCTGAGGTGTTTTGGTATAGACTTGTCATTTCATAGATTCTTGGATACTTAATCCACTAAAAAGTTTGTCATTTGTTTTAGATAAATTATGCCAGATTATATCAATCGATAAATATCGATATTAAAATAGCTTAAAAAACCTAAAAGCTATGGAGATCATATTAAAAATGTATATGATTATGTTTTGAATACACAGATAAATCATAAGTCATTTGGAAGAAGAATATCGATAAATATCAATAGCTTGAAGAAATCGAATTTAATTTTAATATGACATCTACATATATATTGAATGAAAACCCCTTTAAAATATTTGATATTAGAGATCCAAGCTCTCAATATTGTGTGAAACTCAATCGTGTAGAATCCGAGTTCAGCTAAACTATTGCTCATGTTGTGTGAAGGCCAAGCGCAGGCGCTGATAATGCATACAGAAGAAACCTAGAACAGATTAGAGCAACAGCTCAATGTAGAGTTCAGGGTATTTACTAGTCGAGCACTTCCTGTTTCTCGAGCTGTTGGCATTGATGGAAAATCATGAGAGATCGAGTGGGTAAAAAATACTTTATTAAAGGTGCATTTATGTAGGTATATTAGTAGATGACACACTTGTCGTGTGGATGCATTGCTGATCCAGGTGGGCAGTGGAACTCGCGTGCGAATTCGGCCAGGTTGCGCAATGGGCCATTCACTGCCAGGCGGGTCCAGCTGTGCGTCTGCCTGGCGCTGTACGTGAGCGGGGGCCATGGCTGGGGCCAGAGCTGGTGCTGTTCCCTGTCCCTGGGCTGGCAGCGCTGCTGGGCAAAGGAGAGGAAGAAGAGCGCCGTGTTGGAGTAGTTGAGGCCAGGCAGAGTCTCCTTGCTGAGCCGGACGAAGTCGTTGTTGGGCGCCTGCAGACTCAGCCAGTTAAGGTAGGCATTGAAGGCGACATTTAGGGCGGCGCTGTCGTTTATCAGCTGCTGCGTTGCGGTCTCGTTGCGCTGCAGGTACTCCTCGACCTGGCGAGCGAAGCACTCACTGCGGTTGTGGTACCTCCAGGCGGTCAGTCTGTCCCAATTGTCGTGCTCGAGCAGGCCCCTCGACCAGTGCAGCTCATCGAAGGCGGAGACCAGCGGGCGGGCTAGGCTGACGCCCAGCGTGCCGTAGCGCTGGGCATGGCCGTAGCGCTCGTCGTACTCGGGGGGCTGCAGCAGCGCCCAGCCCATTTCCAGACGCCGCTGCAGCGGCCGATAGACCACGCGTGTCTCGTACGCCTCAACTGGGTCAGTGGGCAGGGGCAGGTTCTCCTCGGCCTCTCGCTTCTGCTGCTGCAGCTGCACTTGCTCCATGAGCTGCCTCAGATTGTGCCAGTAGTTGTTGCGCTCGAGCTGGAGCTTCAGTACCAGCGGCTGCTCATAGCTGGGCATCGAGAGCTGCAGTAGGCTCAGCTTGCGCTGGGCGATGCGACGACTGCCCTCCTCCAGCCACTCGGCGCTGACGCTATGCTTGAGTGCTTCCTTCAGGTGATCGTAGAGCTGCAGCAGCTGCTGCTGCTTCGCCTCCTCCAGGGCGTAGCGCGCCGCATAGAGCTCCCCCAGCGCTCTGGGCAGCAGTTGCCTAACTCTGTCCAAGCAGAGGGCCGGCCTGTGCTCCGGCGTGTCCCCGAGCGGAAACGTCAACGCGCCGACTGCCCGATACATTATGTAATTGGCTATCTGCGTGCCGTTGCGTGTGCCCAGCGTGCGCTGCAGCTGACGGTAGTAGTTCGGCGCGGCCATGTAGACGGGCCTGAAGACCGTTTGCTCATAGACGGCCGTCACGTAGGTCTCGAGGTCCAGGCCGTAAAGCTGCCCCAGCTCCGCCAGAGTCTTGCGCGTGAAGTTCGTCGAGTACAGATGCAGCTCAGCATCCCATGGCTCGAGGCCCTGCATCCCACCGCACAGCTCCAGCTCAAAGCTAATTATCTCGGCCGCCAATCGTGCCGACTCCTCGTTGCCCATGGCCAGCCAGGTGCGCAGCTGCTCCGTCACCAGGCGCTCGAGCTCCCCATAGGCCGCATCGAGTCTATTGAGACGTCGCTGGCTGCACAGCTCGCTGGGTATCAGGGTCGAGGGCTCGCTGAGGTAGATGCTGTTCTCCTGCACGCTGGCGTAGTTGTAGCTAACACGCAATCCAATCAGAATGTCCATGCCGTAGTGCCGCCTCAGTTTGCCGGCTATCTGCGCCCAGTTGTAGTCCCGATTGTACGCGCTCCACTTGGCGCCTGGCACCGCCGGAAAGCCGCCATTCTGCTGTATGAACTCGCTGAGGAAGACCTGCTGCTGGCTGCGCTGCGCCTCGGCAACCAGGCACGACTGATAGAACTCCTTGGCCTGGCGCACTAGCCCACTGTCCTTGCGGTGCATCGACTCCTCCAGCAGGCGCTGCAGCTCCACACTGATGCGACGCTCGGCCCTCAGCTGCGGCGTCGCCTCTGTCCCCCAATGGCCGCAGGCGTACTCGTAAAAGTCTGTGCAGGGATCGGCGTGCAGATTGATTTGACGACGCATCTCCTGCGCCTTGCTCTGGCGCACCGTCTCCTCCGTTTGGTAGACCCGCTGAAAGCCAACTCCATCATCGCCAGGTGCCTGACCAGCTGCAGCAAGCAGCAGCATCAGCATCAGCGTCAGCGCCAGCGCGAGCAGAACCTTTATGTAGCCAGACTCTAACATGCTGCTGCATCTTTGAGTTGCTCTCAACTACTGCTGTCGACGCTCGCCGCAGAGCTCGGCCTCAAACAGAGGCAGATAAGAGCGGTGTAGTTCATGCCGAGGTTATCATGGGGAGAGGGAGAGCAAACAGCGAGAAGCAGAGGCGACTAGTAGATAGATACCCTGGGTTGAAAAGGAGATTAACTTGTGTTATGCATTGGTATAGAAAGGAATCAGTTCTATAGTTCTTAGAGCTCAAGAGATATCTTATTTGCTTATAAGAAGAATGAGAGACAGAGAGAGAGAGAGAGAGAGAGACGATCAGGCAGGCTAACATCAGTATACTCTCTCTTCCCTATGAAATCAAGAAGAGTCTAACATGTGCATAGCTTTATTGGACTTTTCGAATATAATATATGTATATTAATATGTAGATGTGTGTGTGTGTGTGTATAGAAATGTTATGTCTGGGCAAACATTTTAATAGATGGCGCACTTGAAGCGAGCATTGAGCTTATCGCTCTTGGAGCAGCTGAAGGCTTGTGCAAACTGCTCAGAGTTGGAAAGAGCCGTGTTCACGCGGAACGGCTCTGGCAGCTCCTCGAAGAGCTCAACGGACTCGGGATAGTCGGAGCAGTACAGCTGCGCATAGGCCAAAAAGAAGAGCTCGTTCTCCGTGTGATCGAGCAGGGGCAGGCGTTCGCGTTGATAAGTCGCCGATGTTTCAGGCGAGTTCCTCAGCCACTTTGAGTAGGCGCGATAGGCGATGCTGAGGGCGCCGTTGTCGGCCACGATTCGACTGAGCAGTCCCTTGTCCTGGACGGGCTTGTCTCTGAACTGCACAAAGACGGCGTATTGCTCCTGGAAGCACTGGGCGCGACGTAAGTAGGAAGTCTCCGAGGTGAGGTCCCACCAGTTGTTGCGGTAGCCGTGTCGATCGTAGCGCCGACCCACCTCGTCGAAGCCGTGGAGCATTTGGCGGGCCAGCAGCACGCCGATGGTGCCGTACTTCAGGGCGTTCGGGTAGACGGGATCCCAGAAGAAGCGGGCCTGCAGGAAGGTGATCGGGATTTGCATCTTGTTGGTGGTCAGCTCATAGTGCGGCACCTTGTACACTTTGTCCGTCAGGCGCGGCTCCTCGACGAGCTTTGCCAGATGTCGCTGGGTGCGCCATTGGAGCACCTTGACTAGGTTCGCATAGAACTGATCCTGGTGCAGATTCAGGCCGTGCACTTGTCGTATCAGTTGGGTGTCGTCGTGGTTGCGGAATTGCAGCTCCAGGGCCTCCAGCTTGGCAATGGCCTTCTGCCGGGTCTCGAGCGTGAGCCAGTGCAGATCGGTGGATGCCTGGAGATCCTCGCGGAAGACGCGCTTGATGTCCGCCCAGGTGGACTGCAGCTCGTTGATCATCTGCATGTTGTTGAAGTTGCGATGGAAGAGGCTCTCCAGGTGCTGCGGGAAGTACTGGCGCACCAGCTGCACACACCAGATGCCCGGCTGAGCGTTGAGCGGCACGCGTGCCTGATCGAGGGTGTCCAGGGCACGCCAGATCGTGTAGTTGGCCAGGTGGAGCTTTGGCGTGTTGCGTATCACATCCACGAGGTTGGACATGTAGTCCTCCGGCGTCTCGTACAGGTCCACGTAGAGGGTGTCGTTGTAGATCATCTGCAAGTAGCGGCTCACGTCCACGTAGCTGCCGTAGGCCGCCTTCATCTCGGCCGCAGTGCGGAGTCGCGTCGTCTGCTCCAGCGTGAGCGCCGGATTGTGGGGCAAGCCCTTGGCCAGCTGCTGCTCGATCTGCAGCACCTGGGCGGCGACCTCGTGCTGCCAGCGCTCCGATTGCTGTGGGAAGTAGCCCTCGAGCTTCTGGCGAATGGCCTCCTCGTAGCGCTCGCGTGCCTCATGGAAGGCCGCGTCCAGGTATTGGCGGCGATGGCCCAGGGGCAGCTGGGGCGCGCCGATCTTCAGCCGATGCATGTTCTCCTCCTTGTAGTCGAGCACCACGTCCAGGCCAATGAATATATCGACGCCCAGGCGCCGCTTGAGCATGGCCACCGCCTGCAGCCAATCGTATTCGTAGTAGTACCACGACGGCACACGAATCTCTGGCCAGCCGCCGCGGAAGTCGGTCACCTGCAGCAGGGCCTCCAGCGCGGAGCGCGTGTCGTTCGCCTGGGCGTGGCAGGAGACGTAGAATCGCTTCAGCAGGCGGTCGGCGCTGCTGTCGGCACTCGTCTTGCTGCTCTTCAGCATGTCCGCGCTCTTGCGCACGAACAGCTCCTGCAGCTCCTCGAGGTAGTTCGTCTTCTTGTTGTGCAGCCGCGCGGGATGCAGCCGCGGCCAATTGCCGCAGGCAAAGTTGTAGAAGTTCTCGCAGGGCCTCGGCTCGCCCGTGCTCAGGTAGGCCTTGATGTGCGCCGCCTTGGCCAGGCGCAGTATGTCCGTCGTGTAGTTGTTCGCCGCAGGATACGCCCCGGTAGTGCTGCAGGCCAGCGCCAACAGCGCCACGCCCATTAGCAGCTGCTTGCCTAGATCCATTCTCGTATTGCTGATGCGCTCCGTTTAGTTGTTGATAGAAAACTAAGCTCGAATTGAGCTTTGCGTCGATTTTTGACTTGAGGCGGCGGCGACAACTGCTTATCGTCGACCGCCTCGCCAGCCGCGCTAGCCTCGTCAGTTTGCGTCGCTTGATTAATTAATTAGCTTTATTAACCGTTGCAACAAATTTTTTGCTCTCCATTTTAATAACCCCGCTGACCCAATTCAATTCGCTGTTCTCTCACTCACTCTCACTAGATCGGCCCGGGCAGCATCACTGTTTTTGTTTGTTTATTACTATTTTTTCGTTGGCTCTCGCGCACTTGACCCACAAGGTAGTACGTGGCGTATACCCTGTAAGCATTGAAAAGTTGCAAATGGAGTAACTTCATTTTGTCGAAAGAACGGAACATCTTGAAATACCTAGCTTAGCTCAATCGAATATTTTCTCTTCTCGATTTGGGATATCCATCTCGATAGATAAAGTCCAAGCTGATTGCAGGCACAGCCTTAGCTAAGACTTAGGGTATCTGCTAGTCGTGCCCATTCGCCTGGAGCACTCTCACTTGTTTTGCTTTTCTTGTTTTCATAATTTTGCATTGCCTCTCGCTTTTAGTTCGAATGATTCTATGACTTTCTCAGTTGCCCAGCGCTCGCCAAGGCTGGGATCGAGAAATTGTGAATGAGTAAATAATGAAAATTTGTGTTTTCCTCATTTAAGCTATTTGTTTGTCTACTGTTTACGTCTAATTAATGTATCCCTTATTTACAATTTTGGTTGTCTCTTTGCAGGAAAAACAATAGATTTATTCTTCTCGAATTTCTGTAACACTTTCAACGACCGGCCTCCCTAATTGAAGCAGCCTCTGGTAGCTCACGCGGAATTGCCTCAAAAGTGTTTGACTAGAAATTGTTTCAAGCATTGTGTGAAGGGCAACGCAGCAATAAAAGAAACTTCACAAACGGTAAGAAAATTAATTTTACTCTATGAATATCGTATACGATATGTGAATGTCACTTAAGATAATACAATATTGTTGACAAAGTATGCAAATCATATCATGACTTGTTCGATTCCGCTTACGATATATAAATATCGTATACGATATATGCAAATTGGTATTGGTATAGTTAATCCGCTTATGATAGATGGGCACTGTTAACAATATACGATATGTAATAATGATTATATGAATGATACGATACATGAATATCGTTTACGATATTGAGTTAGAAAGTAAGCTTCTCAATACTGTAAAATAGACTCAGTCCGTTGAACTGGTTTATTTGAATGAATAATTGTAATCTTCAGACATTAGTTGTTCGTATATTGTAACTCCCCGCTCCCGTTCATTGACAATTGCATAATACTGTTAATTGCCGTTAGCCTACGATCACTTTTAGGGTAACGCCATTGAGCTGTGGGTCCAGTACAGCTGGCTGGATGCTTACGTTGTAGGTGACATGATAGCCGTTCTCGTCGGCTGTGTAGAACGCTGTCTCCGTATAGACGCTGTTGGGTGAGTTTTCATCCTTGCTATCGAGTAACACACTCGAGGTGTGTTTGCCTGTTATAATCAAATTGGGCTTGACTTCTGTTTCATTGTTGTTCGGAGTGTTTAGCACTGCCGTTTCGTTGCGTTCAGTGCTCGGTTCACGTATGCTAAGAATGTCAATAGAGAATTACGTTTGTTCATTTGCTAAAATGTCAACTAGACTTACTGAAATTCATAGAATACTTTGGTCGCGGCATAATTATGCTTGATGTACCCGCAAAGCAACAGCAAGACGCACAATAACTGCGAAATATCCATATTCGAACCTATTTCACAACTTCGATTCACAATTCACAATTGCGATTCACTTCAACATTCTAGTTGAAGCTCTTACAATGCACTAAACGTGTCTGAAAATGTTTATCCATATTTGATATATGCCGTGCAATATATCTACTGATCGTGATTCCATATAGTAATCCAAACTAGTTGGACCGGTTGCAATTGAGACACTCGGAATCAGAAATTATTGAATGAGCTAGCCATTCCGCACTGTTTATTCTACGGCTCTATCAGATAAACAAGTTTTCCAACGTAAGCTAATGCACTGAAGCCCGTTCAGAGAGGTAGACGGGTATATTGATTGTGATGCAGTTTGCGTGAGGTCTAGCCAGAGACTTGATATTTGTGTACTTAAGATCTTGGAATGCTTGAATGCCCATGGCAAATGGGGAATTACTATATATATCTAGAGCCAAACACAATTGTACTTTGAATGATATATTCAGGAATACAGCTGATTGATAAGTGTGTAAACCTCATACGTAGGAAAATCTTATATAAATTCTAGATCCTGGAGTGATTATATATTTAAAGAGTTTTGGGAAAGAGAGAAGAAAATTTTAGAGCTAGGATCTACAACAGTGACTAACTCTACAGGCATAAATCTCTGCCAACTCCATAAATTTAACTATATTTTATAACATAAACCAGCATTATGCAGTCGCTTATGCCCGTCTGAATTAGTCGCACCTGCTCTGTGTTGGTGTTGAGAGCTCGATATTCCGATTGCATTGAGCGACAGACAAGACTGACATTAATAACTAGCAGCAACACCAATAGCGGCGCAATTAAAGTACTGAGGGGAAAATCACGTAGACTTTTGGAAAAGTTTTCACTTTAATACTATGTAGATTTATATTAAGTACATTCTGATATAATTGATGTAAGCTCTTAGATGATTCCCGGTCGAAATGCAGCTAATTGGCATATGTAATTGACTTTATCCAATTAGTGAGATTATTATTCTGAATGAACTTAGCCGAGACGTGTTAGAATTTTTAAGAGCGTAACACTCAATCTGGGCTCAATTCCAATGGGTGTCATATCAGTTGTTGGATTTTGATCGTGCCTAGAGCTTGAAGCGGAACTGGACTTGATGGTTTCCACTGTAGTCTTGCTTTGACTGGATTTGTCGTTATCCAACACTGTTGCAGCGCTGATCTTCGGGCTGGGAGTTGGCATAGAAGGCTTGGTATTTCTTACTGTTGTCGCATCCTCATCTATTCGTTGTTGAATAGTAATCGCTGGGGTTGAGACAATTGTGGAGAATTTGGCTTTTACTGGGCTTGTTGTTGTTGTTTCTTTATAAAGTGCTGTATTCCGATCTTTTTCTTGTTGAGCCCTGGGGTTTATTGTGACAGACTTTGGCTTTAAGGGTTCCATTGTTGTTTCCATATGCTCAGAGATATCCATATGAACTCCCATCTCCGTCTTAACCCTCGTGTCAGATTTGATTGAGGGATCTTCTGTTGCACTGTGAAGGGGGCGTGCCTCTGTTGCCGCCAATCCCAATCCCAACAACACAATCGTATAAAAAATCTAGAGAAGTCATAAATAATATGAATACAAGTATGCGCTAAAGTTGATTAGACAGTTAAATACTTACAGCTGGCTGCATTGTTGCTGGTGAACTGTTCGTTCGATTCACAGTTCAGCAAGTTTTATAGTCCTCAATGCATCGTTAGCAATTCATAGAAATACCCATTGAAATTGAACAAGTTCGACGTTGGGCGTTACAGATCCAAAGCAGTTCAATAGTCGAATAGAGTTTCGGGAAAAAATCTCGAACTAATTAGGCAAGTTGTCGGTGAATCTAGGGAGAGCGCAGTAGAGTGTAGGGAAAATAATGAATTGAAAAACTTGGTGTTCTATGGGGAAAATGCCTAGATAATTACGGATATATATATGAAACTAGATTGGTTCTAAGTCAGACTTTAAAGACTGTGTATTATAATATTAGGCCAGCCTCTCCAGGGTTTTTTGCTTTGCTCTTGCCAAAAAATACATCTGAAGTACAACTTACATTTAGTTTCTCAACAAATTTTAGAGCATGTAAAGACTTGAACATGAAATATGATATTTTATGAAGAATTTCAGGAGATAAGCTCAACTTGATGTTATAGGAACTATTTCAAAGGAGGGTATAAAGGAGGGGAGTACAATAAATACGAATCTCAGTCTGGCGGGCAACAATAATCAAGCACTAAAACAATTATGATTTAATATACGTTTTAAACATGTTAGAGACTTGATTTTAATGAGTTTAAGATCAGTAAACTTTGATGGCTAATATAATCTAACTGTATGCCTTTGCGTCATTTGATCAGTTGAATTTCATCAAGCCTGAAAGTGAGTAGCTCTCAATGGGCTGGGAATTTCGTTGGGCAAATGAGGAAAACGTCGGAAAGGGGTTTCGCCCCCGACTGAGAAGATGGAAATGCAGGCTAAATGGCCTAGGGCTGATTGTTCATTTAATTAAAGAATATTTGAGTCAAATTAAAAGAAACAATACTGTAAATTGGTTTTATGTGATTTATTTAAAATTAACTTTGTGGCAACATATTTAGTCAATAATTTAAAACTATTAATATATCACGGCAAAGCTATTTGGTTTGATTAATATCAGTTACAACTTATGAATAAGCTTAAGAATATTTTTAGCAAATAAACATGTTGATTTTTGGTATTTAGGCTAGTATTTTTAGTAATTTTCCGGATAGATGGTTTACTGTCTCGTCTGGATACCGTTCATAATTGTAGTCGATGCCTTTATAAGTCTAGAATATGTTTAGCAAACAAACATATTTAGCTGAGCTTAAGCCAGAATCTTTAGTAGTTTTCCGGATAGATGGTTTACTGTCTCGGCTGGATACCGATCGCAATTGTAGTTGATTTCTTTCTGGAGTACAGCATATATTTGGCTGTTGACGAGAGTTAAAGAAATTTGCTCCAATGCGATGAAGTTGTGAAGATCTGTTGGAGAAAAGTCTCTACTGGTTGTTGCTTGTGCTGTTGGTCCTTGCGGGGATTTCGGCTGATGCTTGGCTGGGGGATTTTCGCTGGAGCTTAGCGTTTAGCTTATCACTTGTGTCTCTGGTACTTTGTTTGCTTGCTATTAACTGTGAATTGATTTGAAGAGTTGATTGTACGTTGACTTTTATAGTCGCGTCTAGGTGTCGAGTGCATTGCCCATGGCACACGACACGTAGCCAGGTGTAAGATCGGCGTACGTCAGTGATTCGTGCTGCAGTCGCTCGGAAATTTCCCAGAGCACTTCCAACGGTTCTCGGCAGAAAAGAAAAGTCACCGGCTCCGGCCATTAACTGTCATTAAAAATTCTACTATTTTAGTACATTTAGTCATCCAAGAGCGACTTTTAATAGATCCAATATCACATGTAAAGTGTATCGATTCGCTATTGACCATGACTCACGCTTTTGCAATGCAAATAAATGTTTATCAAGAGCATCTCTTGGGCTGAACCTATCGAAGATGGGCAATCAAATAGAGAGGTAGCAGGAGACGCAAAACCCTTAAACGAAATACCTGAATAGAAATCAGGACAAGTAGCTAATATCGATAAATATCGATATTTCGATTTTGTTTCTGATTCTCTGAGACATCAAGTCTAAGAGGAAATCTTATTTGGAGTATCATCACATTAATCAAAAATCAGTTCCGATAAGACCAATATCTTAACATTAATTTTCTTCTTACATTTTACATATACTTTTTTTTTGCTTTTAACATATAAAATTCTGCCATAAATTTGAATATATTTTGACAACTAACGGAAAAATCTATGAAAATTCTAAAAACTTGAAAATACAAATTTGAAATTGTAAAACAAATGTTTGAAAATATATTTTTGAGAGAGGGGATTTTTGCGTAGAGAATATTTCAAAACCAAAATTTTCTTTTCACACTTCCCGTTTTAGTTATTAAAAGTACTTCTTTTTTTTGTATCAGTTAAAAAATCTTAGTTTTAAATGTCGAAGAACAACAACAAAGCAAACGAAACGAAAAGAGAGAGAGAGAGAAGGATCAAGTGAAAGCACAGTAGACCTTAAATATTTTTATTATTTTTGTTGTTTGTGTTTATGCGAAAGAAACTCACGTGATTCCCCTCTTCAAAATTATTTATTTTCAGACGAAAAAAAAATATATAAAGAAAAAGTAAATAGAAAAGTGTTTTGCGCGGCTGGCAGGAAAAAAGATCTCTATAGACAAGTCGAGAGTCGAGCTGCATAGGCTCAATAGAGAGTGAGAGATACAGAGAAAGAGAGAGAGAGACAGAGAGAAACAAGAGAAAGATAACAATAACACATTTTTCGATAACGCTAACGATAAGCGATTAATGCCACCTATCGACTTATCGAATCGGCTAACAAAACGAGAAAACACGTAAGCATACACAGTGTGGGGTTTTCTGTACCGCTGTGCCGCGGCAGCGCCATTGGCTACCATGGGCGCCAACGTATCGCAGCTGGAGCGCGAGATCGGCTCCGAACTGTTCCCGCCCAACGAGCACTATTTCGGGCTGGTTAACTTTGGGAACACATGCTATAGCAACTCGGTGCTGCAGGCGCTTTACTTCTGCAAGCCGTTCCGCGAGAAGGTGCTCGAGTACAAGGCCAAGAACAAGAGGCCCAAGGAAACGCTGCTCTCCTGCCTGGCGGACCTATTCTACAGCATTGCCACGCAGAAGAAGAAGGTCGGCTCGATAGCGCCGAAGAAGTTCATCACGCGGCTGCGCAAGGAGAAGGAGGAGTTCGACAACTATATGCAGCAGGATGCCCATGAGTTTCTCAACTTTCTGATCAATCACATCAATGAAATAATCCTCGCCGAACGCAACAGTGGCAAGACGCCGGCCGCCGGGTCGTCGACTGCGCCGGTCCTGGGCAGCGGCGCAGCTCCGGGCAATGGGAATGCTGCGAATGCAAAGTCCAGCTCGAACTCCAATTCATCCAATT